AGACTTCGTAGCTTCTCAGTATCATTCGAGTTCGGGGGATCCATCCAGGCTAGAGGTTCCTTGCCCTCAAGTTCTGCAAGGCATTCCCCCCTAACGGCAACTACTGTTCTACTGGAGAGTTCTTGGTTGAGTGCAAAACGATCCCAAGGCTACTCTCAAATGTCTGTGTTTCCCTTCCCTTGTTCCTCAGCTTCAGATTTAAGTAGGACAACAGTCTCACGGACCCAGGAGTATATTTTGCGTGTGTGTCCCCTTGAAGAGGGGCACCTTGACCTGCCAGGTGCACCTTCCCCACCCGGTCGCTACGCAAGACTCTGGCGACTAGATCCTCCAGATTTGAGAGGTGAGGGTTTAGGGCACCAACTGTTTTTCTGCAGTCTAAGGGGAACCCTCCCAACCAAAAAAGTTGGTAAACCGGGCACTACTGGGGGACCTAGAAATTAACCGGCGGTTGATTGATAGGCTTTTTGAAGAGGGACACCTTGACCTGCCAGGTGCACCTTACCCGGCCGGTCACTACGCAAGACAGGCGATAATCATGCCAAGCCCCGCGTGCGGCGTCCCCGAAGTAGCGGCAAAGCTCCAGCATCTGAATGGTAGCCTTCGTGAGATGTGACCCTCAGTTTTGTGGGCCTCTTTTGGTGCCCGGATTTGCCATCATGGCTCATGGTTGCAATGCAGCCGTGCACCTTCTGGGAAAGAGCCGCAAGTTGCGCAAGCGGGGGAAAAAAACAACTGGCTCATTGTTTGAAGAGAAAGATCCCAAAAAAAGGTGAGAGAAGTCCAGACCACACAAACAGGTGACCAACATTTGGAAAGCACTGGGTACTGCGAGAAACAGAGTACCAAGCCAAAAACTCTGTTTGCGCGCAAATTGAAACATATTTCTACGCCCCTTGGGTACGTGCCCCAACATTCATGTTTTATACACCTGGACCGTTCAGCTGCACGTGTGCCTCCCCTTTGACGGAGAAAAAAGAGGCGCACAACTCAGTCGTTTGGTCGAGAGGAAGCAGCCAAGCGCCTTCTGTCGCCTTTTGCTCGGGAAACGTCGAGAGTGCCGGCCCATGGAGGAGGAAGAACAAGTCCACGAAAACTTCAACAGATTGACACTGGCTTCATCAACTCCATTCTAGATATTTGGCCCTTACAGTGCATCTTGTTCAAAGTTCAACCCGAAGCCGGGGGGGATTCGCATATTCTCTGCCACCATCATTTGGGTTAGTGGTACCCGGCATTCAAATTCTATTGGCCCCAGTTTGTATCAAAGGGGAACACCCCATATTCAGCATTCCAATTCTATTAGCCCGGAAAAACAAGTTGCGATTCGGGCGCCGGGCTACGTAGGTGGGATCTCCGGGCACCGGGGCGCCCGCGAAGCCTTCGGCCCTAAGTGTGGGCTGGGGGCAGTTGTGGCTCAAAATTAAGGAGCTCGGGCTACGCAGGTTTGAGTCCTTGTTTCCATTTACGAAGGGGCCATTTTGGGTACATTTGTTTGAGCCGCTGCCCCCGTTACATCCGGCTCAGGAGTCCTGCTAGTGGCTTTGGCTCAAATGGCACCCAACACAAGGTCCTCCAGTAGAGAGGGTAGATATCGGGTAGAATTTTGTGGGTACCCCATTTTTCTGGACGCCTATCAAAAAGTAGGGGAACCCTCCCAACCAAAAAAAGGAAAAAGGCACTACTTGGGGACCTAGAACAGGCGCCAGGGCAGTTGAAAAGACCAAAACCTGCGTAATGTTTGCTCCATGATCTTGAGCCACACCCAAATGAGGCTGTGGGCCAACCCCCACCAACCCGTTGGCCGACATGAAGTAAGTCCCTCCACTTTCACCCGGAGATCCGTTTCTCAGGGTATCTTATTCCATGAAGGTCCATAGGGTATCCCCGAACGAAAACTCGATCTCTTCCCTTTGGCGCTCGAAACATCCGGTCCAACGGTTCTACGTTTGGACTGCGTTTCAAATCACAACACGCCGCCGATGGACCCACGCTGCCAACTACCTAAGGCGTAGATAGCTTTGTGATAAACAAGGCAACACTAATGAACACACAAATGAATAACACAATGAACAAATAAACAAACACATGAAGACACAGAGACACATAAATTCAAATAAATATATAAGTGGGCTATATATATATATATATATGGTGGTTGATCTAAATTCCTTTGTCTCGAAACGGCCATTCTTCGCGAATATAAAAGTTAATTTCGCGAATCTTTCGCGGATTCATCGCCGTGCTCTTTTCATTTCTCGAGTCGGAGAATCGCAGCTTTTAAGTGCCAGCGTTGTAAGCGAAATGACGATTTCCCAACTCCAGCTGTAAAGTCGCAACTTTTCATCACAGGGGTAGTACATGACATGCACCGGCTGGAAAGTCGCAGCTTTTCGTTCGCCGTGCAGCTCCAGCTTGAAGTCGCAGATTTCCAGTACCAAGCTAGTATACTGACTAGATCGGCGCTCAGACTATACCTCCCCTTGCAATCGAAGCCTGCGCTTTCGCGCGGGCTTTCGCGGATCTTTCGCGGAACTTTCGCGAAAAATCACCCACGTTTCAGAGCGGAAAGCCACCGACTAACACACAGACACACATACACAGGCTTGGAGCACTAACCAGCCAAGCAGGGTATCAAACTGTAGCCTCACCAGGCTAAATCAGCGCAACATCAACAAAGTGTTTTAATCAGAATAGAAGGAAGGCTCAGCAGAAAAGATGAACGGTTCCACATATCATTGATTAACCAGATACAGTTGCGCAAAACTTTCGCGAGAAAAAAAGTTACTTTCGCAACTCCATCGCGAATCTTTCGCGGAGCTACCTCAACCAACACCGATGGTCACCGAATACTAAACTCCTTACAAGGACCTTTAGAACGACTCCCATATATTAATCCATGAGTACGTGTGCTTATAACATTTCCTTACAACACTGGTATCTAGTCGACATGGGGCACGCTTCCCAGCTTCGGACACAACACTAGGGGTACACCCTCAGAACTACACGTCATGACCCCTCAAGGGTGTATGCCCTGAACATCTTCCTGTAAGAGGCTTACGAGAGGGCTTCAACTTAGATTGTCTTGAGGGTTGTAGTTGTAGTTACAAGGGCTCACTCAGGGGGCAACTGGGGGATATGGTCACGATTGACTTGGGGTGTCTTGTCACTGCTTAACTCCCATCCAAGTAGTTCATCTCTTCCCCTAAAAAACAAAGGTCCTCCGTTTCGAGAAGGCTTTTCTCCCATTCTGGGCTTTTAGGGGCCTTTTGATGGGGAGGAGATTGCATTCTCCGGAGTTCTGAACGTGCCCCCAACACTTCACCTCCACGTCCATTGGGTGCCCGGCACCACTCGCACCATCTGGTCAAACCAGGTCGAGGGCGGAGTGCTGTTGATCAGAGCCTGCCAGACCAATTTGGCCATGGCTCAAAACCAATGGTACCATTTTGGGATAGGTGCACCACCCATTTTAGTCTATTTGTGGGGATTGGATGTTCACTGGGGGTACGGGGTTTTGACCCATGGCCATTTGGGTGTGGGGTATCAGAGCTCTCTGAACGAGTTCACGCTTACGTCCCGACAACAAATCGCCAGAGGTTCGACATAATGTGGCAAGCCCGGGCAGGGGAAGAAGTTCGAAACCAGCTGACATGGGGTCATCATTCTCTATGGTTTTCTGGTCGTGGGCTCGGCTTACTGACTTGTAATACTTAGGGATTCCAGCGTATCAACTGGGCAAATGTCAGGGAGCAAACAAAATTCCATTGGATGGACCCCTCCCATTTCGGCACCGTGTGCTTCAAGGCCCCTTGGTCCAACGGTTTTCCTCAGCAGCAACGGCCATGCGGCTGTAACCAATCCACAGGGTTGCGGTGGCCTCTGGCAGGTGCTGAGCTTTTGGACGATGATTGGGGAAGAACGTCGTGGGGTGTGCCGTGCGTCTCGTCCTCCCCAAACTGGCGCACTGCCAGCGGCTCGAAAATTCAAAGCGGGTCTGACATTGTTTTGGGAGATACCCACATGGAGCTTACAAGGTATCTGCTTCTAGCTACCGATTCTCCTTCTGGACGACCTTTGAGGCAGTACCCGTCAACGACCCGAGCGCTTTTTTCCAAGTCGGGTAGCTCATGCCCTGCGCACCAATGAATCACACCGACTGGTCTTGAAGCTATGTTTGAGCCACACATACCACTGTGGACATGGAAACATAAGAGAGGCAACTTGGTTTCCTGTGCGAGATTTAAGGAATCCCCATGACCCGAATCCCTTGACCATATACTGCTGACCATGTTGAGCCAAATATGCTTTATTGAAGTCTCTAATCAGTGTGACTAGTCGCACGCGCAACTAGGCTCAATGTTCTTTTCCGACTCTTCGAGCATGCTGCCCTACCGCCCGTTGCCTAGGACAGCTAAATCCTGTTTGGCTCACTGGCTCACACAAAACCACATGGTGGCCCATCGACTCTGCTGGACAACAAAATCCTTTTTTGGGTTGACAATTTCTAGTGGATGAGCCGCCCAACAAGAATGAGACATGGGTGCCACTGAACAACTGGGACAATATCCCAAAACAAATGGTACTGCGGTCCTCCTCAAAACAAAAGCACCACGCGCGCATTTTCGTCCACCATCTGTGCACCTCTATTCCGGTGCTGTCTCTGCGCACAAACTCAAGCGGACTTTGCGATTCGCGGCTGTACTTTGGATCCAAGGCAACTGCCTATCATCTCACCATCTGGCCATCCGCCAGCTGAACATTATCAGCACCGTCCCATGGACGTGTGGGAGGTCGAAATGCTGGAGCCTCATCTCTTAGGTGCTTTCATTGCAAAATAACTCCAAAAGAGCTCAAACCCAAACACGTCTGGCCGTTCAAGAAGGGCGAGCAGTGTCTACCTTGCGGGAAAAAAAAAAACTCAGTGCACATTGGTATAGTTCAAAGTCTGGAAACAAAGAATCCGCTAGTAAAGGACCATGATCATAGATCTCGTCTTACCTGGAAGTGCTCCCCCGATTTTGACCCGCCGCGCAGGGACTGGTGAAGCAATCTATCGGCCTGGCCGGGCACAGAGATGACCCCTTGCAGTCCCAACGTTCTGCCCATCTCCATGGCCGGCCGGTTCATTGCCCCTTCTTATTCTCCTCAGCCTTCTCTTTCTCCTTCTTCAGGCCCCTTTTCCTGATGCCCTGGCGGCCATCGCCACAAAAGGAAGCTCTCACTCGGCTGGGGGTCAAAACCAATGGGATCCCATTTTGGGGTCGGTGCACCACCCATTTTAGAACCTTTTAGTGGGGATTGGGACGTTCACTGGGGGTACGGGATTTTGCCCCATGGCCACTTGTACTTGGCAACCCAAAAGTGGTGTTCTTTCTAGACCGGTGGCAAAGAGCCATCCAAGTTCTTTTCACGCCCTCGCGACACTATGTATATGCCAGGGAAGCCAACCCGTGTCAGGTGGCAACCAAACTCATTCTCAGGAAACCAACTAACTGAATGCACATCTGGGACAATACTGGCCATCTGAGCTGTCTTTTCTCACATTCCTGTGAGCTCGTTTTAACCCCAGCCACGCTCTTGCAGCGCGCCTGGTGCTGCATGTTCAGCAGCTTCACCGCCACCACCTCGGGCAAGCTGTTGAGCGCCCAAAGCTGCAGCGAATGCGCCCACCAGGGCGAGATCAAGGCCTGCGCTCGCCGTGGTTCTTGGATTCGGCCAAGTCAGCAAGTGATCAGCCACCAGGGCTATACCCCACGAATGTCAAGGTGAACAAGCTAGGGGCACTTACAAGTGGATGATGGACAATACAAGGGCCAACATCATTAGACTGATTTTAGTGATCATGGAAGTAAAGCATTACTATATAATTAGACCCTTATAGTGGCCAAAACCAACCGAATCGAGACCAGGGAATATCAATCAATTATTGTGCAGAGACGGGCAGCATTAGGTTTCCAAGACTACCGCAGGAAAATGCGGCAACAAGAGTTTGTAAACTTTGGGCACTATGATTGCAACCTATCAAACCAAGCACCGTATTAATATCACATATCCCGGCCCCAAGCTCCCAATACTAGTTGGAATTCAGCGACACATTTCCCCAACCCAATTCCAGTCGTAGGGAGTTCCCAAAAACTGGCTGAATCTTCCTCAGTCACACGTGTTGAAGCGCACTTTTCTTCAAGGCTGTTTTGGGCGCTCTTGGTGAGCCAACAAGAGCGAAACCGGGGGGACGAATATCGTTCCAGCAGGAAAGAATCGTTCTCCATCGGGTGGGGTGGACAAATTGCATTCTCGCTTCCTGCAGGGCCAAAAGTCTCTAAACTTGATGGTTACCACTGAAATGGTGCAGCCCCAAAAAGATGGAGGTCCAGGAACTGAGGGAGTGAGAGTTAGCAACATGTCCAAACTTCCTGGAACAACCATAGCAGGTCCCATCCGCGAGTTCGATGAAAACAAAAAACATCGGCCCTGACCTCATAGCCAATCTGCCGCGCAGCGCAGGACACATAGTCCTTCGGCGAAGGCACCTCGCGGGGGGGGGGGGGTTGGGGGGGAAGGGCTCACAATCTAAGCTAGGTCCTCCAGTAGAGAGGTTAGGGTTTAGGGTACCAACATTGTTTCTTTAGGTCAATTTTAGTAGGGGAACCCTCCCATCCAGAGAGGTTAGGATAAGTTGGTACCGTTTCCTTTTTCGGTTTTGTCTATTTTAGAGGGGAACCCTCCCAACCAAAAAAGTTGGCGAGAAAGGCTAAGGGCACTACTGGGGGACCTAGTAAGACACCGGCTACAGGCAGTTCTGCGCAGAGGAAACTGCTTGTGGTTGACGACTTGGCTAGCTTCCCTTAGAATGTCCAGCTGGTCCTTCTGACACCAGCTCTTGGGAGGTTGCAGATGTTTTGGCCCATCTAAGATTCCCGATAACTAACAACCTCAAAGAACAAAAGCCTACCAGTAAAGCCTTAAAAGGAGTGGTGTTGTTTGTTCCTTTCAACGTTGCATGGTTTCTCCCCCCTGCAACACCTTCTGCCAAGCTTGCGTGGAAAATACCGTCCGGGCTTCTGCTGGTTAGGGACAATCTGGGGAACCAAAAGGCGAACGGTTCAATCGGAAAGTCTGCCTTCCCAACATCGGTAGCCTCCAGAAACGGCTGTTTCAGCATCCTGGTCAAATCCAAGACCTGTCGGGCGGATCCAGCTCCCAACGAAGATCCCGTTTCCCGGACCTGCAGTAGCCCTCCGGGTACGTAAAAGCGACATCGCCATGAACCGCTTCATAGTGGTTCAGAGGGACCCCCGCCTGCCATGGACACTGAAAGTTGTTTTCGCAGCCAAGGACCTGAGGAACAAATACCCTAAACAAACTGCTTGTGAAATAGACTCTGAGTGTCCATCATACAGACCCCCCCCCCAAAACTAATAACATGAAATATGGGGACGAGTCAAACCAAAATCACGTTACGCCGAAATCCAATTGCCAGGGCGCTGTCACGGAGGCCGTGCGGATCTTGGCCATCTTAGTGGTGACGTAGAGAGGCGTCTGTACCTGCAAACTCCCCTCTCACGGTGCATCTCTAGGGGAATCTCCAAAATTGGCTTCCCACTTTTGTTCATGGAATCTGCCAGGGAACTGGTCCCTGTAGAGCGAAAATGGTCCAAACCAGGACCCTGAACGTCAGGTAACCTCAATTCTTAGGCGGTGTCCATTCGGTCCCCAACATGTACAAACAAACAAACGCCTCCTGAGTGATTGGCCAGAACACACGCCTGGATCTTTGCTGTTTGGCACTTAAACAATGGTCTTGCTCAAAACGTCAAACATCCCCCGAACTGTTTGCTCCACTAAGCGATCTTCCCGAAACAAACCAAGGCGTCCCCTCTTGGCAGCGGGACAAACGCAGCCCCACTCAAACCTACTTGGTCTAGAGGCTCGGGCCAAACCCACAATCAAAGGATCAATGTATACTTGGTTGACGTTGGAAGGGGAGCAAACAAAAAAACATGCAGCAGTTAAGCGGTTGGATTTCAACCACTAAACCGCAATAAGACAAACATGTAAAAACTGTTTCCCAACAACCATGTATATGTCCGTCTGAGGGTACAAAAGGGCAAGAAAGGAGCCTTATGAAAGGAGCCACCTCAATAGCCACAGGCGACCCAGTTGGAAGCTGTTCGATGTTCACGGGTTGGGCACTTCTAAGCCAAAAAGGAGGCTTGCGCAACTCAACTGGTCAGAGGGCAGCGCTTTCCTTCTCATCTCGTTTGAAGTGGGGGGGGAATCAAACAGATCCGTTGCCGAAACCGGAGGCCCGTCTAGTGGTGCATTGCAATGTGCTCTAAGTTCAACGGCTACCCCAAGATGGCCACCGACTCAACCGCAACATGGCTTCCATGGGAGGTGGCAGGCCCGAACAATATGACCTCTGGACATGGGAAAATTGGGTTGTCCGCTCCATGTCCTCCGCGAAATAGTAGATAATCAATGATGTTGACAGTGATCCACGTGGGTATTCATGTGTAAGGGATCCATTGCCACACATCTAGATGGGAACAAATGCCCACATGAGGCTGTCCCATGGAAGTTCAGAGCGAACGATTCAATCAAGGCCCCGTGTCATGAGCTCCTAAAAACCACCCGCCACACCCGTGGATCTGGCAAGCCCAAAACATGAGGGGTGGGGGGGGTGGCCTCTCGCAGAGAATTGGGCTGCCCAGGGACCCCTCAAACATGTAGAACCTGTCTTTTGGCTTCAGAGTCGGAGTGCACCACATATGTCGGTTTAGACGACCTCCATTTGCTTCTGTCCCCTGGAAAAAGACATAAACATGTGTCTAGTAGTGATAGATTCCCTTTAAACTCATCAGGGGAAAGCAAATATTCAGCAAATGGAAGACTGTGTTTCATAGTTTGTCGGCGGATTTTTTCTTCTAGGTTCGGCGCGGCCTGTTTTTCCTAGGTTCGGCGGGGCGGTCCCGATCCAGAAAATCCGCAGAGGGGTCATCTTTTTCGAAGAAGCCATTGTTTGGGGTGGGTTTGGGCCGAGCTTGGGTTTCTTTAGGGTGGGTTTTTGGCTTGGTTCAGGGTTGGTTTTGGTTTAGGGTGGGCTTAAGGTGCGCTGGGGTTGGTTCAGGGTTGGTTTCGGGTGGTTTTGGGATTGCTTACGGTTTGCTGGGGTTGATGTTTGGTGGTTTTAGCCCTGGATTACGGTGCGTTAAGAGTTGGGGGCTGATTTTAGGATGGGTTTAACGTTTAGGGATGGTTGAGTTGGTTTTGTGGGTGGTTTAGGATGGGCTTAGGGTTGGTTTCGAGTGGGTTTGGGGCTGGTTTAGGGTTGGTTTAGGGCTGCTGTAGGTTTGGGCTGGTTTAGGGTTGGTTTTGGGATGGTTTATTGGTGGTTTGGGGTAGGTTTCAGGTTGCTGTAATACAATAGGATTGGGTAGCTTTTTAGGGTTGGCATAGGTGTGGGTTTAGGTTGGATTTAGTTGGGCTGGGTCGTGGAAGGGTCCCCGGTTGGTCGGTCGGTCAGTCGGTCGGTCGGTCGGTCGTCGGTGGGTGGGTGCTTCTTTAAAATGCGTGCTTTTGTGGCGTTTGGTTTGCTTTCCAACATCCTCAGCTAGCATCACGTCCAGGATAGTGTTTGCAACCCACCCCAAACCTTCACCTTAGACCGACCAACCCTAACCCCACGCCTAAACCCACATTAAACCAGCACTTAAGCATCCTGAGCCAGCCAAAGCCTTCCACAACCCCCCAAACCCACCCAAACCAGCGCCCTAAACTATCCCGAATCCACCCTAATCCAACTCTAAACTCCCACTACACCTAGCGTAAACCGCAAATATATACCCACCCTAAACCCACGCTAAATCCGCACTGAAGGAGCCCTACAGAAACCAAGAACCCAACCTAAACCACCCGAAACCAACCCTAGCCGACCCCAAACGAACCCTAAGCAGACCCTGAACCAAGCCTAAGCCCACCCTTTTCCAACCCCGAATCCTGACAAACCTTGAGCCAAACCTAAACCCAGCCCAACCCTATACCAATCCGAAACTCAGCCTAAGCCCCAAAGCTATAGACCAGCACTAAAGCGTTCCAAAACAGGCTAAACCAATCCAAAGCCCACCCTAAACCAGGTTAAACCTAACTGAAACCCCCTTCAACCAGCGCCACAACCCTAAACCAATCACTAAAATGAGCCAAAACCACTAACCTAGGAAAAAAATAACTCGGGACCCATAGTTTGTCAGCACAACATACAAACTGATATCAAAGCAGACCCCACGAACAATGGCTGTCTGCTTGCTGGCTGGCTGTTCGAACTTTAGGCTCAACCCGGAAAGAGTCACAAGCTCCGCAGCAGAATCACTTGCTACCCAAGCAAGCAACCAACCAACTGACTAAGTGACTAGCTGGCTCAGGAACTAGCTAGTTTGGGGGCAATGAGGCAGCATTGCTAACTTGTCCCCGGAATTGACCGCTCTACATCCTCCATGGCAGCTCCCCGCTTTCAAGGGGTACCTGCTACAAGAACCAGGGGTTCAAATCTCCAAGCAACCAATCCAAACCACCAACTAAGGGTTACCTGCTATTCACTTTTTGGAGCCCTCTGAACTAGCCCCAGCTTGTCTTTGGAGGAGCAAGTGAATCAATCCTCCAGGAATTGTAGTAATGAAAGGGTCACTTTCGTGGATAAACCCCCTTAACAACCGCCCAGACCAAAGGGGACCCGACCAAAGCTTCGGGTCTGTCTTGTCTGGGGGGCCCTCCCCATTTTGTGTTCCTTCGGTTTCCCTTTAAGCCCACCAAAACAAGGGGTCTCCAAAAAAAAGCGAGCCACCCATTTGGCCCCCCGGACCCCGCGCCATGCACCCCGCGCCTGCACGTGGATGCCCTTGGATGCCAGCTCAGCGCCAAGGCCCATGGAAAACCTGGGAAAAGGTCGGCCTCTAAGCCCCAAGCAAGAGCTACCCCCCCCCCCCTCTCACATTGTTTTGGAGAACTTGCCGCCGCTAAAGCTGCATTCTTTGATAAGGGGGTCCGCGACGTACAGATTTCGGGTGATTTTCCACGGCGATATTTGCGGACCTCATAGATGCATCCTGACTTCGACACCATAGACCCCCAGAGAAACCAAGGCTGCCACCAGATCAGAAACCCCGTACTGAGCAAGTCTGAACTGCCAGGTCTCGCACAGCACTGCACACTGCAAGGTTCAACCAATTCGCTGCGCCACACAACAGACATGATATATCTAGAAGCACAAGTGCTGGGTACAAAGGTCATGGTTGAGAACGGTCGACATGGGTTGATCCTCTCAGATTCAGAGCCCTGCAGGCGAAGAAAGTCTGAAAAGGAAACCCAAATCCCTACACCAGGTGCCTGAGAACGAACAGGGTCCTTGAGGCCCCAAGTAGAATATTCTTGGCACATTGAAATTCACTGACCCAACAGAAATGGACCCCAACAGAAATGGACCCCGCAAGAAAGGAACCTTCACTATCGCCGATGTCGCAACCCCCAACATGTGACTGAAGGTATAATTTGCCTAGCACAAACAAGGCCGTGGGTTGATCTCAGCCGCATTTGACAAGCGAGCTACCTCCTAGTCAACATCAAACAGCTCTGGTTGGTGTCTCGGTACAAACAAACCAGCAAATAAACACACAAACAACCAACCAAACAACCAAACAAACAGCAAACAAACAAACAAACAAACAAACAAACAAACAAACAAACAAACAAACAAACAAAACAAAACAAAACAAAACAAAACAAAACAAGACAGCAAGCAAGCACGGGAGCAAATACTATCTAACATCAAACAACTCCGTAAACAATGCATCGTCAATATGACACTTCAAACACAAAAGAGGGAAGGAACGTAACTTGAGACCGGCTTCTTGAAGGCAGCCATGGAGCCGGACAAAACCAAACTTTGATCTGGGCTGATAACCCTGCATTCAAAGCAAGAGTAGAAATGGCCGCGCCAAAACCAAGCGTTTGTTTTTTCTTTCTACCAAACCCACCATCAACCTGGAATGACCCTGCATCCTGAATGAACACACTAACATTCACCCAGGTCCACCTTGAATCACTCAGCGCTGTACCACAAGAGGCTGTGTGTGTGTGTGTGCTGTTGTTCTGGACTTCTCTTTGCTGTGACAGTACAGTCGAAACGAATCAAGAAATGGCTCAAAGATCTTTTCCCCTGGCAGGCTTAGTTTTTGAAGGGAACGATGAGCAAAGGCCGTTGGGACTCAACCCTTGCTAGGTCCTCCAGTAGACAGGTTAGAATAAGGGTGCCAACTTTTTTCGGTAGTCTATTTTAATAGGGGAATCCCCCTCAAAAAAAGGGTAGAAGGGCACTACTGGAGGACCTAGCTTGTCTGCTGACCCACTGCGGCCCCTGCATCTCTACGTAGGCTTTGGCCCCCGAGTACTCCGCTAAGAGCGGGGAAGTGGTTCGGGCCGCTCCGCTGCTGGTGTTCACCTTAGCTGTGGCCATGTTCAGGTCTCAGGTTTGCTGCTGAGACCTTCAGATTTCTGACCTTGCCAGCCTCCAAATAGAATGGAAGGAATCCACTTCTCTAGGGGTAACTTCCAACCATTCTTTCCAGGGATCCTTCTTTCTAGAAAGCCTCTGGACACCCAGGGAAAATAGCTGGCTTTTGGAAAAAGAACGATGGTTGAACAGATGGAAACGGAATCAAGCCTTAGAATCAGAGGAGACCTTGCCAGGGGCCTCTAAATAGAATGGAAGACATCCACTTCGCACTAGTTGGCAGGTGGCTTATCAACTAGATTCATAGGGCTTCATCCATCCCAAGTGGCGCAGGAGTTGGCTTTTCCCGATATCGAGGTCAAATACCTTATATACAAGGGGTAGCTAGTGCCTTACAAGCTTGTATTGATGTACAAGCATCCATACCTCCACAACCCACACCGAACAAATGCCCTGAGTCTGCTTGGATCCTCCTGCTTAAGCTCGAAGGGGACCCAGCTTGTGGACGAGCCGTTAAGCTCCATACCTCAAAGCGAAGGGCTTCCGAAGCGAAGGACTGAAGCGAAGCACTCAACTAGGGAGGCCTTGCATCCAGATTGACAAACATCGAACTTGGGAAACCAGGTTAAGTCGCCTGGCTTTTTTTTAATGGAGTCTCTCATTTCTGACAATGTGGGAGGCGGCGTGCCATTTAAGAGGCTAACATCACTGTTGGGGATACACCGCCCTGATATGCCAGCATACAAACGCAGCAACCTGAAAACACTGTCATGTCTGGCCAAGTAAGTGGCCAGTAAGCTACGTCCAAGCCCACACCCGGTTGGTTTCTTTTTGGCTTCCGTTAAAACCACCAAAAAACCAATGGGTACCCAGTACCCTCAAGATAACAAGACGTACCCAGTGTAGGCTAAGTCCTAGGGGTGCAAGGGAAGCAAGCTACATGGACAATTCGCGAAAGTAATATGAAGGTGGGATTTACTGGAACTCCGTTTGGCATAGACCCTCAACATACATAATATGTATGTATATATGCATATATGTGTATACAAACATATATTGGTATACGCTGCGACCGGGGATTTGCCCAGGTGTTGAAGCGTGTTGTCATGTATCTTCTTCTTGAACATGTGTGACCATTGGTGTGCTATGTTTTAGGAGCTTGTGTTTTGGGTTCAGGTTTAGTGTTTGCGGTCAATACTTACGAGTAGGGTTTGTGTTTTAGGTCAAGGTTTCGGGGTTTATGGTTTTGGGGTTGAGGCTTAGGCTTCATATATGATGTTGGGTTCAGGTTTAGGGTTTGTGGTTTTGGGGCTTATGGCTTAGGGTTTGCAGACAGGGCCGGGTCGGGGGTGTTGCGGGCCCGGGCAAACCCCAGGAATTGGCCATGTGAATTAAAAAATGTATATCTATGTATACATACATACACACCTACCATTCCAACCCTTAATATGGCAATAACACACTTTTTTGCAGGCCCCCACAAAACATGAACGGAACCAAACAACCTAAACAAATAAACACTTGCCAACATACACAAATGCGTATTACATCCTGCTACATGGTTTGTGAGTGAGACCTTGGACATAGGCAAGTCGCGATGGCACCGCGCTTGCGCGCCAACATGCCAGGCCCGCCCTCCTCACCAAGGACAAGGCGGGTCCTTGGTCCCGGGCACAGAAGGTCTGCGTGTGGTGTTCCTTCCGATGTTGGGCTTCCCTGTCTTGTCCAAGAAGGAATTTCACAGGCCCAAATACATAAGAGTGTCTTCTTTCGAGTCGGGTCCATTCTCAGGTTGTGTTGAAGGGAGTTTAGACGGAACTCGCCCATGGCGCTGATTTCATGCGAGTTCCCGATATTTCGACATTTGAACGTCGCCTAGTGGCCATGGGGGTTGCCTGAACAGGTGACATTAGCCCAGCCCCTTGTGGCCACGAGTCACAGCGGGAGGGGGAATCCTCTGGCAAAAAAAGGCACCACTGAGCGCCTGAAACAAAAAGCAACCTCCATGAAACATGTACACTTCGGATACAGAGTATTGACAAACGCTCCACTTGACGGGGATCACACAGATTCGTATTATATACGGTCCTCGGATGACAGGGTGAAGTTAATATATATATATATAATATATATACACACATCGATTTGTCTGTCTTTTTCGACACCACCCTTGTTTGGGGGTTTCAAAGAAACACCAAAAGGAAAACCACCACAGTTGTTGTCGTGGGTGCTGCTAAATATGTATATGCATATGCGTATATGAATGAATGAAGAAACACGGATGAAGATGCACGCCAAACGTCTTAGGCAGCGTGCCAGTTGATCACGAATGGCACTGCAAAAGGTATCAGTGTGGGCAGCTGTGCAAAGCAACGATTCCTTGGCAATCTGATCTTTGCAACAGGCGAAGCGGTCACAAACACATGATGCAAGTTGATCTCTTCATCTTTGGGAGCGTCGTACGCTGCTGAAACAATCAAGCCGGATCAGCTGAGGCAATGCTCTGCAACGCGAGAACTCCTTTTGCAAGCCCCCTGTAAATGTTATAACTTCGGTCGAATACTATGAGGGCAAATGATCGTACGAACTAAAACTAAAATTAACCAACCGAAGATAGGCAATCCTTATGAAAGAAACCTTCATGATTCATGATTCATGGGTACAAATCAGCACATGAGCAGAAACGGATGCTAAGGGGCAAACTCTGCCCAAACAGCAGATGGATACCTTTTGCGGTGTTTTCTACGTTGTGCCATCTGCCTGCCCCCATCTACTTTCACGCAACGGATGCTAAGGGGCAAACACCCACCTCTGCAAAAAGGAATTCCTTTCAGTTGGCTGAAAGCAAATAACACAATTTCTGTGGGGAAGTGACGCAGAGCAATGACCAACACAAAACAGGGGACTTGTGCGATGACCAAACGGGGCCCCGATCGAAACGCCGTTCTTTCGAGGCTCATCCAGGTCATGGACGTCATATTCACCTCCATGATGTCTGCCACCTCGCTGTCTTTCAGCTCCTTGGCCAAAACGGGATGGGTTGGCCATCATGGGTTGGCCCTTAGGTGCACCACAGAAACTGCAAGCCTTGAGCAACAGTGCCATGTGGGTATCACAAAAAGCTGTTTCTCCAACACCTCAATTGTCTTTCCTGGGCTTGACCTACATCTACCTGATTGCAACATGGAGCTCGAGTGTTGCATTGGGAAGTATTTGCCCTCCTTTGGCAGATCATTTCCTTCTGGTTTCTATTTCCAACAAGTCGAACCAAAGGTGTCCTGCTCAAAACTTCATGGATTCCACTGGCTTGGCTCGACTCATTGACCCTTGCCCTTTGTGTTTCCAACACTCACTTCCTGAGTCCTGGACTTTAAACATTACTTAGGAAGACCATTTTGGTGTTAAAAAACAAAAACAGACTTTCTTTGGCCAATCCACTCAGGAAGTGAGAGCAGGACATCCCGCAAACAGATCCCTTCTCCATTTTTCCCGGTCGGGGTCCGCGTTTGAAACAAACTTTCAGGATGTTCGAGGACATAAACAAACGGGAATGAATATTGTGGGATCAGCTATGGATGCTCCCTCGTCGGTGTCTTGCAGTCATATTGTCGGGCTAATACTTGATGCCTGCATGCCTGCGTGCCACGCTGTCAATCCTAGGCCAAACGTCGACCTGTTTCTGGTTGAAAGAAAAAAAAAAGCCGAAAAGAACACATTGAACAGACAGCCAATGTCTAGCAATATAGGCAGTTGTCATGTAACTTGTCTAAGGTGTTCTTTCTAAACCCCGGTTGTCATAACTGACACCAGTTGGTGTTTCTAGCACGTTGGGAAGTGGTACCAAACATCAACTGCAGAAGTCCGAAAGGCGTGGAAGTACTTGGTGAAGGTATAGGACAGGCCCACGTTGTTGATCAGCAGGCCCACGTCCAGGTCTTTGATCTTGGCCTGCAGTGAGCAATGCAAAGCTGTGGTTGCTGTTCCATTTTACTGGGCTGTCCGCTTTCAGATCCCCCGCAAACAAGAAGTTTAACTAAATTAGTGGGTTAAATGGAAATCCAACCACTAAACACTAAAAGAAAGGCTAACAAGCTAAGGGACCAGATAACTGGGAACCACCAAGTTTAGAGGCGTTTTGGAGCAAGGACCAAGCTTCCTGGGGAACAAATTGAGATTTGAAGGGGCCTTTCAGCACTTGGTTTAACTTTGACCCATACCCAGTCCATATGGGTGTGGCTCAACACTAACCAGGAGGGGCAAACCGCAGGTTTTGGTCCATGTTTCCACTTGGCAGGGATCCATTTTGGTACCGGTTTGTTTTTGAGCCACAGCCCAAATGTCAGTCAGTACTATGTAACAATCACGGAAGCTTGCAGGAAGGTGTGGGAGACTGTTTTCCTGTTCGCGCGAGGATACAGATTGCCTGCGAATAGCCTGGCACATGTTTCCAAACGTAAGTTTTCCACGAAAATCACTCCGGTGTCCTCCGTATTTTTGCCGATGACATATCAACCAGAAAGGGCCCTAGCCAATTTTTGGACATGCCGAAGTCAGTCCGCCTTGGAACCTGCGTTGGGGCGACTTTGATGGTGAAGCTTCTGGTTGTTTGAAGTAAACAAAATCGAGGTTCAGGGCGGGCTTCTCATGGTGGTCCTCAAAGACACTTGGTTGTCGCCGCCCATGCCATGATACTTTTAGGACACCCGGATGTGAGCTGCCATGTCAAAAATGGCAATAGACCCTGAGACACGGGTCAAAAGTTGGGCTCTGGAAAGGGACATTGAAAGGTATCAATTTTCTGCTCGGAGCATTGTGGTGCATGTTGAGCCCCAATGAAGAGACCGTCGCCTTTTTCAAGTTTGTCGCAACCCCAAGTGAAGGATTCTCTATCTTGAATGGGTCATAAAAAATGACCTTTTTTTCTTTACGGGGCCCAAGAGTAATTTCGGTGTTCCTTCTGGTTTCCCTTTCAACAACCCATCAAACAGGGCTACCAACTAACGAAAAAGCGACGGGGGACATGGCCGGAAACCGCCGTAGCGAAGAAGGCTGAGCCGCAGCATCAGCCCACTGGAGGGGGTTCAGCCAAGTACGTTGTTCAACCTATAGGTCCTAACTTTATAATCCTGACCCCGGATGTTCATCAACCAACCAGTTTATTAATCATCTCTACTCTTGGTATGGTAGCAAAAAACTTTGCTTTTTGCAGACCCCCAGTAAAAATGGACAGAACCAAACAACTAAAAAGCTGAACAACATGATCCAAGAGCAGTGAAGTTTAATTGGGGGGTGGGGGAAACCCCTCCAAAAGTCTGATTCCCCGGAGCCAGAGACACCTCCAAGATCGAATACACTGGGGTTGACTTTCATGTGGGGTCAACGAGTCAACCCCCTAGGTGCGGCTTAGGGTTGCCTTAAGGTGGCTTTAGAATTGGTTTCGGGTGTCTTCAGGCTGAGGCTTGGTTTCTGTGTGGCTCAGGGTTGGTTCAGGGCTTAGGGTTGGTTTGAGGCCAGGGCTGGGTTTGTAGTGACGGACACCCAATAGAAGGCGGAACATCCACCACATGAGTACAGAACGTCAAAATATGGATGCAGTTGCAAAGCCAAACAAGCGCTTGGAACATTCAGGTAAAACATTGACCGATGATTTGCAGAGAACCTCGCGCGAGCCCCATTTGCATCCCTTCGCAAGTGGTAGCATTCATAGCTTGAATGTGTGGGGAAAATGTGTGGAACAATTTCGTACCCGTCATTTTAATGTTTAGATCACGCACTTCTAGGCTTGGAGCACATGGTATCAGAGCACTTTTCGCCTCGCAGAACACACTGGCCATACTAGTTTTAGTCCTGGCAATACCAAATCGAGTGACAGGAATATCAAATAAGTACTGGCAATACTAAAGATAGCAGTGCCAATATTGAATCGAACGCACGTGGCATTCACAGTTCGCACATGAAGCGGCAACCTAAGCTGGGAGAGGTTTCAAGGGCTTAAGTACCCCAAAAAAAAGGACCAGCTGGACCCGAAAATTCTACGGCTGCACGAGCACCTGGCAATACACAATTTTCAGTACTGGGACTACTGAATATGGTACTGGCAATGTAAAAATTAGTATACTGGCAATACCAATCAAGTACTGGCAATACTAAAAGAAGTGCTCGCAATACTAAATTAAGCACTGGCAATACAAAATTAAGCACTGGCAACACAACATTATGTACCGGCAATGCTAAACTTTGCGCTGGTCATAGTACATCAAGCATTGGCAGTGCTCATGTTTGTATTGGCAACACTACATTAAGCACATTTGGAAAGTCAACAAGAGCCTTTGCGCCCCGTGGCAAGTGGCGGCGTTGAAAGTTAGTTGGCGGGGTAAGCTTCAAGTTGTGCCAAAATACGAAACGAGCTAGTCTCAAAACTTTTAGGCTGGAACACCTAGCAGCCGAGAACCCCTTGCCTCGCAGAACGCTATACAATACGAAATTGCCTATTGGGAATACTAGATTGCGCACTGGCCATACTAAGTGTGACGTAAACCAACCCTAAGCAAATCCCGAACTAACCTTAAACTTACCTTGCCCTAGATTGACGGACGCGAAGTTGGGGTACATCATTCGGTGACTTCACGTTCTGAAAAAAAATAGCATTCCCTCTAATACCAACCAACACGGGGTCCCCTTCAAAAAGGACGTCGACACATTTCGACACCCCACCCCCACAGTTTTGAAAGCATGCCCGCTAAATCCAAAGAGGGCGGCCTCAAAGAAGGAAAACCGCCCAATTGAGGGCACATGTCTCAAGAAGGTAAACCACCTCAACATGTCGGCAAAACATGGCAAAACCAGCCCTCACCCTCTTTGCCCTCAACATGTCGACATCCACCCAATTCACTGGGCCCGGTGAATCTGTCTGTCTCTCGCCGGTTTCGCCGTTGCCTTCACCGCGTCCCGCGCTGCTTGGTCGAAGTTGCTAAAGTCCACCTCGCGAGTGCCAATTCGCCGATGGCGCCGCACGCTTGGCGCGCGCCCGTGGATGACCATGGGAAACCCTGCTTCCCGAGTTTTGGTATTTCTATGGTAAGACACGGTCCCCCCCGGCCCCATTTTGGTGAGTTGCCTTTGTGTAAGGCAAACCCGCTCCCCAAGATGGGGAAAAAACTATAGAAGTGCCACTGGGCAACGAGGAAATCTTCTTAGAGATTTCAATAGTGGGGCCAAAACTGCCCCTTCTTGAAAGGGCGAACTGTTTGCTTGTTAACAGGGAAAATGAAACAAAAGGGTACTGCAGAATTTCTGGGGTCTCTTTGGCCTGACTTGACAAAAGGCCAACGGCGACCCACCATTTTTTGCCCTGGCCGAACGGATGAAGACACCTACAAACAGTCCGATGATATTTCAATTCAGCTAGTCATGTTGAGCCCGGATCAAGTGGCCCAGAATGACACTTAGGTGACCCCCCAAAAAGCGGTGGTTGTTCCTTTTGGTTCTCCGTTCAAACCAGCCAAAATGGGGTAGCAACTCAAAAGACAGAGCCCTTTCTGGAAAGTAGGGCTGCCGGTTGATTCGAATCAACCCCAGTTAAGCCATCGAAAGGGGTCGATGTCGGATGTCCGAGCCTCTGGATTCTTCAACCAACTCCACCCCAATGCAAGCCACAAATCTCGGTTGCGAAATCTGCTCCCCTGCTAAAAGTTTAACTTTTAGTGGTTTTGTGGAAAACTCATTAGTTGGCAAAAAGTTAAAGTCCTAACAGCCAAGCAAAATGCACCAAAGAAATCTAGCCCTCCCCTCGCCCCCCTCTTCATGGGACCCTGCTCGAAAAAGATGCGGAATCTGCAAGCTTGTGCCAGGGTCTCAGAGAACCATAGGCCGTTGGGTGAAAAGGTAGAAACAGGGATCAACCCTACTGTGGATGGACGAAATCCATTTCGCACCACTTGGAAACCACGGGGAACCATCGTTAATTGGTATTTACAAGGGAATCATTCCAGAAGCTCTCAGGTGCAGGATTTCGACCATCCACAGGGACATTCGAGCGCCTAAGCCCAAAGAAGCTCTACGGTGATAGACTCCTCCCCATAGCCGCCTTGGAGGTCTATCAACCCACCAACGGTTCTCCTTCTCAGAACATGGTCTTCCAAGGACGCCCCCTGTTAGGCTAGATCCATGTGGGTGGAAGGGTACCACAAACACATGAGACAAGCAAACAACCAACCAACCAACCAACCAACCCACCCACCCACTCACCCACCCACCCACCCAACCAAACCAAACCAAACCAAACCAAACTAAACCAAACCAAACCAAACCAACCAACCAACCGGAACAACCACAAGCACAATACCCTTGCACAAAATCAACATGGTGAGGTTTTCTGCAAAACCAAACTAAGTCCTGATCATAGCCTTCTTTGTCAGCTACAAAAACTGACACCCGTGCCACTCTGGGGTCTGAAACGAAAACACCGGGGAACCTGGATTTCCCGCACCCAGAAAATTGGCGGCTTCCTCGTTCACACCCCCAAAAAACGGGTAGCCTCAACAAAGACACACCCGTACCAGCACCCCCCAACAACTTCTTCTTGACAGTACCTGAGTCTCACTGGCTGAGTGGATGGCCCAACCAAAAGTCCAAACTTTAAATTTACCACTAAAATGATCCAAACCCTTTAAAAGTCTAAAGTTCATGAACCCAGGAAGTGAGACTCAGTTTGTCGGACGACCAGAGCGCAGCTCGGGGGTTGGCGGGAAGTGCGCCTTGAGCTGGTCCACCTCCACGCCATGCGCGGCAGTGAGCTCTTTGGCTGTCTCCGAAAGCTTCTCCTCGTTCCTGGCGCCGTAGAATGGGGAATCAACCCCTAGACCAATGGGATCCCATTGTGGTTGGTGAATTCACCACCCATCTTAGAACCTACTTTAGTGGGGAGTGGGACGTTCACTGGGGGAATGGGGTTTTGACTTATAGCCATTGAACTTCATTGCCCTTACCTGACGATAGGTGATCTCCTGGAAACTGGACTACAAGGCGGCCAGAGCAAACCCTCAAAAGGTCGTCTTTGGATAGCCGAGTTTAGCAGTATGGTATGTAGTCTTGCCGCCTTGGAGCGCTTCCTCAAGCTGTCAATACATTGCTTGTCTATTTAAATAAGCATTAAAAAACAAGCAAAGCCATCAAGTGACACTCCCTGAAAGCACGTCCTTCGTGGATTGGCCAGAAAAAGTCTAAACTTGCAACTTGTTGCTACTAAAAACTTGCTGGTGCTCAGCGTGGAATGAGGGAATGACCCCTAGAAACCATCCCCTGTGGATTTCTCTAAGGGAATCCCCTTCTGGTTCATTCCCTCATTCCCGGCCTATCGCACCAGCACGAAAATGTTCTAACCCACAAAAAGTGACTCACAAGGATTGCAATGCCTCCTCCTGAGTCTTCTGCACTATTGGAACTCAGGGACTGATTTGGGTCTGACCTTTTTTGGTGCCCCCCCTTCAAACAAAAACAATCCCCGTTTTTTTTCCGTTGGTTTCCCTTTTAACCCAGCCCCAGAAAGAGGAGGGGTAGCCTTCGCCTAACTTATTTAGCAACAAAAAAAAGAAAACTGCGAGCCGCCCATTCGCTCCGACTTCCGGACTTTTTAGGGGTAACTCCCCCATTCTTTCCCGGGATCCTTCTTTCTAATAAAAACCACCCAAAATTTTGGGGAATGGATCTGGTTTTTGAAAAGAACGATGGCTGACAAGAATGGACAAGGAATTGGAATCACCCCCAAGACCTACTTCTTGCTTGAGGTCGACCTGCTCCAAGTGCAATGTTGGAATCAACCCCTAGAGACCTTGCGGAATTTCCGGTCCTGGCGATGAGCAGCACCTTCAGCTTCTGCTGCGCCAGCTCAAAGGCGTAGGCCTTGCCGATGCCGTCCGTGGCCCCTGTGACGATGGCCCACTCCCCGTACTGGCGCAGGTCCTCGCTGAAACCGATGCTAACACGGACCCCCATTTTTGTTTTGGTCGGGTGAAATTCCAATGGGAGCAAGAGAATGTCCCACCAAAACAGGGGACCCACCTGTCCATTAACGTGGAACCCACCAAAGGGTCCATTTTGAAGGAAAATGCTTTCCAGCACCCCGAATCGTCAGCTTCCAGGTTAGTGGATACGGGGTTATTCACAATGGAGGGTTGGCCAGCGCAATTATGGGCTGTTTCCAATGGCCAATCTGAAAAAGAGGCTCCCTTACAGTACCTTCAGTGGGACCAAGGCTGCGGAACCTCACAAGGTACCAAGGGATCCTTTGGGACATTCAAAACAGCGCACACGCCGAGTGACTTGAATTTGCAACGAAGGGACCTCAAAAGCTAACATGGCTACCGAAAGTGGAGTAGACCAAAATATGTCAGAGTGGTTTGGCGGGGGGTCGTGGGTTCGGTGCTGTCTGCGGCAAGTCTGTGCAAGTGTGGAGTGTCAAAGACAAAACTGCCGAGGCCAGCCAAGTTGTACTTCCCCGGCGCCATGACTGGATGTGTGCCAAACCAAAATCCAAAGGTCGAGAAAGTTGGGCCCTAGCAACGGAAAACCTTATGAATTGGTCAATCTGAGGTTCGGAGAAACCCCGGTTTCGGGGTAGCTTCACACTGAACTTTCACCCTCGCCCGGAAGACGCCACAAGCGAGTTGCTTTTGGCGTGGTACGGAGAACCCGGGTTCTCCATCCGCAGTAGGCCCAGGACCCTTTGGGTACTGTAAAATATTGTGAAGTAGTCCCCACAAATTCATCAAACTCCAAAAGCTAAAAAACAACTCAATCGCATCAAGCTCCCACCGGGCCCAACACGAACGCCGGGTCGCGAATTGAGAGTTTCTGGGAATTGACAAGGAAGCGATGCACCTAGCCAAACTGCCAAACTGCTTACGTGGTAACTACACGACACCAACTTGTTCCCAGGCTACCAATTTGGCTAAAAGGATTCCCTGACAAAGCGCCTTATTCCACCTATGCAATAGCTGGTCTCTTTGACATGGCTCGTGTTCTGCTTCCCGGTTCGAACAGGCGGTCGGGCAGTTAATTCTTGTGGGACATGGAGCCCTGAACACTCTACCTTTGAGTTCACTCCAAACCGGGGGGGAAACAGGACACCTTTGAGGCCCGGGATACGTTTTCGATACCTCCCGCTCCTTGCCGGGGCGGAAGAAGAACTTGTAGGCCAGCCACAAGCAGTGGGAGCCCTTTGCGGCCACTGCCAAGCACAGCAACGACAGGAGGGGCTCCATGACGTAGGCGACCAAGCGCTGGTCACCAAACTTGAGCC